TGTCCTTTCGAACATAAAGCCTCTGTGTAGATATACAACTCTGTCCACTCTGATAGAAGGCCCCAAAAGCTATGCGATCCATGAGGTACTCTAGCCCTTCATGTGGTATACAGTCTACTATACCAGCAGCATTACCGCCAAGCTCAAGCACTACCCCTTTCTTTCCAGCCTAACACATAGAGCACACCTGTCCAAGGCTAAACACAGAAAACTACCCTCGACTTCATATCCCATCCAACACTTGGACTGCCAGTAAACGAGAGCAACTTGAATCGGTCGTCAGTCGTAAGAGGATCTCCATCTAGAGGGCATCACCATCTCCCAAGTTCGCTGCATCTCACACTACTACTACCTTGCCTCGAGCAGGGTATTATAGAGAAGGCCTCTTTGGGAAGGTCCGAGCACTCAGCAAGAACCTCGCCTATTATCAATGAGCCCAACGGAGTGGCACTGGCCGGCTTCAGTACAAATGGACACCCAACAGCAATCGCAGGAGCTATCTTATGAGCGGCGAGGTTGAGAGGGAAATTAAATGGCGTAATCATGGACACGGCGCCTTTGGGGACCCGCTTATAGATTTGCTGGAGGCCCCGATATCTCTCGGATGTCTCCATGCTACTCCACTCGCCGGACATGCGGGTAGTCTCCTCAGCGGCAATTGAGAAGGTGTCGATGAGGCGCAAGACCTGCTCGACGACAAGGAAGTGATTGAATCAACGAGGTATTCCTGTGAATGGATGACTAAATTTTACCAGGGACCGAAGATTTACATAAGATTAAATCAAAGAACTACGACTAATTCAATGGGCGGATCGAAAAGCTGTCAACCGAACGGTCGTTAGGTCAAACACGCGTCACTGTTGTTGCCATCAGGTACCATAGTAACAACCCCATTAATATACTCCACGAACATTCGGATCAAATAGAGACCATATCCCCATCCTCTCTCACCTCCAGGCGAGAATCCACAATAGGTTTACCAGCCTCCACACACAGACAGTAGGCCAGCTCCTCAGCTCTGTCTCGGAACCTATCCTCATTGTTCACCTCTCCGCATCATCCACACTTCCAATACTCCCACCTTTCCACGCAATGCTGGAGGATTCTCTTTCGTTGAAATGCCGGGAGCGCAGCCATCGTCTTCTCAGCTCCATGAGCCGCAGCTATAGCTCGTTCTACT